CTCATAGAGCGAAGAGCACACAAGACTGGCTGGCGGCGCGTGAAATCGACTTCATCCGGCACGAAGACTGGCCCTCCTCTAGTCCAGATTTGAATCCGTTAGATTACAAGATATGGCAACTCTTGGAGGAAATGGCGTGCTCAAAGCCTCATCCCAATTTGAAGTCACTCAAGACATCCTTGATTAAGGCAGCCGCCGATATTGACATGGACCTTGTTCGTGCTGCGATAGACGACTGGCCGCGCAGATTGAAGGTCTGTATTCAAAATCACGGAGGTCATTTTGAATAAACTTTAGTGTCATAAGAATCTATGTTTTGTTAAGTTCATTTTGGTATATAAATGGTTACATAATTAATAAACTTGTTTCAATTATTTTATATTAAACATGTTACAGAATTTATGACCTGACTAGGTATAAGTTCTTTATTGTTTTTTATTGTATCAATCGCGTCAATTAATCTCTTTTATTTTTAGAATTGATTTTAACAGCGCCATCTATCTTTAAATCTCTATACATGCGGTGATAACACGCTGTGTCTGTTTCTGTACATTGTATAGTATATTAATTTGTGACTAAAATCATTATGGAGACTGAAATTCATTAAATAAGTACATTTTTATAATTTTTAGAATTGTCTGTCTATCTGTCTGTTTGTTTATGAACGCATCACGTCTTAAGTAAACATCTTTTTTTTTAAAAGAAATCGTTAAGAAAATCTATATATTTTGAAATGTAGGTTCTATTTGTTTAAAGGCCATAAAATCTCAGAAATAGAAATAAAATGATTCGTGTGTAAAAAAATAACGTTCTATTATAATATATTTATACTTAAAACACAGTAAACAAAAATATATATTTTCCTTAAATTAAAAAAAGGATGTTTTCTCACAAAGAACGTAATAGATAGCGTTGTACAAATTAGAACTTTTTCTGAATTGCGGTGTTAATATTTTTCTTCTATTAATCGAGATTCACTGAAGTAATTTACTGCGCCCTCTTTTCCCAAAAAGAGGATCGCTTTCGATTCGGCAGAAAGGCCTAATAAGCCAATGCCAGTCCCATGGGTTGTGTTTAGTGGGTACACTTAGGGTTGTTAGGTAGTTAGTCACAGTGGTATACATAAAGCCATAGAATTATTACGTCCAGTACAAAACACGAGCGTTAAAATGATGCAAAGTCATTATGTTAGTGGGCGCGAGTCTAATGTGCCTACGCTCGTCACACGCACACATACACGCCATTCAGTGATACCAGTTTCTGGCGTTTGCAATCAAATTGTGCAAATCACTATTTTTTGATTAATTTTAAAAAATCGATATAATAAAGATTACGTATTACGTACGAAGATTATTTAGTAGAAGTATTTTATGAGAATATAAAATGGAATAAAATAAACACGATAATGATGTTACTAATATAACTTTATTATACATATATTAATGATAAAAAATGCAGACGTAATAAAATTTAAGAATATTACTAAACACAATTAATTTGCTCGAATACAATAAGCACATTGTGTAATGTTTAATTTTAACTCTCACTCGTGGCTCAGTCGCCTCGCAAGCGACGCGTCGCGCGAAATGAGCAAAGAGCAAAGTAATGTTTCCCTGTTCCAGATCCAAATGATACATTTGAAACGTTGTTACTGAACCAATCTTTTGTGTCACTTCAGTGATTCGTATCAGTGAGTCGTTTCCGTAAAGAGATACACACGCCTACTCTAAAACGTAACCTTAGTCAATAAAAAAAGCAATTAAAATAAAATAGTTGCGTTAAAATGGCGTCGACGAATCGCTATTAGCTGATCACTCCTATTGGTTTTAAATAGGCACCCATTGTTAATATAATGTTAACACTTAGAGAAGTAGGTATCTATATATAAACATTTGAGTTTTACACAGAGCGTTGCGATTAAACGTTTTAAACACAAATAGAAAATAAATATTTTTAAAAGAAGATTGTGATTTTTTCCCCACAACTAGCAACATTTGTATTATAAGAACTTAGGTAAGTATTTTTTTAGTTTTACGTTCATATAATGAATTAAATGTATAAACTTATATGTGAAATGTAATACCATCACTTCTTTTATGTTTATCATCACCGTTGTGAAAATATTTTACAACACAAACGGTAATTTTTACAATTTTTCGCGAGCTCTTCTCCGTAAGACGTGACGTTGCGCACTTTCAGTATATATAAAAGTACTCTGTGTTGCGCACTGACGCGTCGCTGAGTCAACTTACGCGGTTTCGCGTTAGTTTTACTTGCTTCATTTTCGGTGCGCGTACTAGTATTCTATGCGTAATAATTCTATGCATAAAGCATTCACCACCTAATCGCGTTAAGGGGATAGCCCTTTACATTTGCTTCTGGGCGCAAAAAAAGTAATTTACGCTAACAAGTCCATTTAAGCTAAAAGAACCGTGTAGGGTGTAGGCTAACAGCACAAACATCATCAGAAACAGAAACCATAAAAAAGATACGTACGCCCAAGCTAAACGTAGCAAAATTGCAACAAAAACAAAATGTCATGATGTTGTTTTATACCAAAAATCCATCTTATATCAAATAACTTTCCTTTCAGTTTTAAGCGTGTTCTGTTCCCACTTCCCAGTCAGCGTGTGTTATGCGATGACCAATGACCGTAAATAAAGCGCAAGGTCAAACTTTACGCGTTGCAGGAGTGGATCTCAGCTGACTGCTATGTTGCTTTTTCCCGCGTGAGTAGCGCCCGTAACATTTTTCTGTACGCCCCGGCTGTCTACTTTTAACGTCGTATACACTGACGTTCTATCACAAACGACTTAGAACTTTGAGCATAACGATTCATTTTGTTAGCACTTATTAATACAGTAATGATATAAATCGTTTAATATTCTCTTACCTAAACGTCAAATTCTTTAAGAAAAACCTATATATGCGAGCTACGCCGCGGGCACAGCTAGTTGTTTAATAAAATAATAATAATTAAAATCGGATCACAATTGACGAAGATATCGTGTAACAACACAAATAAAAAAGGAATAAAATAGTGCAGTCGAATTAAGAGTTGTATAAAAAAGGAACACAATTGCGAGGTTCCTTAGACACCTGAAATTACCTGACCTTTTTCTCATCTCATTAGGCCGAAAACAGTCCACTGTAGGCCATGAGCCTCTCCAAAAATACACGGAATCCGCCATTCGATGACTATCGTGAATAGAGAACACCATTACATCTTGTACCAAAACAAACATCTATACAAATAAATAAAATTGAAGGGTCTGTTTGTAATGTCAAAAGTACAGTTTTTTACTAAATGCATATGCTAGTAAATACGGTACTTATAATTAAAATACAATTTTTAAAATGTTTGTATGTCTGTCTGTCTGTCTTTTTGTTCCGGCTAATCTCCGAAACGGCTATACCGATTTTGACGGGACTTTCACTAGCAGATAGCTGATTTCATAAGGAGTAACTTAGGCTACTTTTATTTTAGAAAAAGAATTAGGGTTCCGCGCAAAAGCATAAAAACCCTAACACGCGAGCGAAGTCGCGGGGAACAGCTAGTCTTAACATAAATGTAGTGGCGGTCTAAGAATATTCTAGAGGCGCCAGAGGGAAACTGCAGCGGGAGATGGGTTCCATCTTCTTGATGACAACTCAAAATCAAAAACTGCGGTTACCAACACGCCTTCCAAGGGTAGCAACTATGTCAAAAACCCCCTTATGAGGTAAGCTATGCAGGAAGCCTATGTTCATTAGTGGACGTTTATAGGCTGTAATGGAAACATTAGTCATATAACTACGCACAGAAAAAAAAGCCTGACTGTCAGCTGTCAGATTGACATTTCTTTTCCACTACGTTGGCGCGGTTATATACATGACACTGCGCTGGCAGAATCAATTGGTAGATTCCAAACTAGAAAAAAAACTTCAAGTTAAAAATGGGAAATCGGTCTGTAGTTCTTCGAGAGAGCTTTGTTGCCTTTCTTGAAGAACAAGACCAACGCACTTCTGCACCACGCCTCCGGGTAGTCCCACCATGGAGGACAAATTAAAAAACCTCTGAACGACATCAAGTACCGGTTTTCCACCCGATTTCAGAAGCTGCGCTGTAATTCCTTGCCTTGCCATTATTAAGGTGCTGGAGAGCCATTATAATCTCGCTCAGACTGACATCCGGGATATCACCGGAATAGTGTCGGTTAAGAGTTGCTCTTGGATCGTTACTCACACTTGCGTGTGGCTCCAACGGTGACTTGAAGGTAACCGCATTTCGTTGTATTATTCTTAATATAAATAAAATAATTATACAAAAATTACGTGACAATTTCACATTTCATTCATCTTTAACCCTCGACGAAAACAGAAGATTATATTTGTAGTGTGCATCTGTGTGTCTGTGTATCTGTCTGTCTGTCTGTCTGTCTGTCTGTCTGTCAGTCTGTGGCATCATAGATCCTGAACGGATGAACTGATTTTGAATTCGTTATTTTCGTTTGAAAGGTGTCTTAATCGAGAGTGTTCTTAGCTATGTTATAGGATCTGTTCAGCTGTTTGAGGATCATCAGCTCTTTTTATTTCAGGGGTTTTTGAAACTCTAAATTTATGTTATAGAGAATGAACTAATTTTATATCCGACACGCACGTTATTGGGATGATTAACAAAAATACTTACATTTCTGCTAATATGGTATATATAAAATCCGAAAAAATACAATTTATTTCAGTCAGTCAACAAATTAAATTAAATATTTTTGTATGACTAATACCTTGTTTATATTTGAATGATATTTCATTGCATTATTTGCTTTATTTTAATACTGACGCTAATACATTTTCAAAAAACGCAAATTTAATTCCAGATAGTAAAATATAATTTTTTCCTTAATCTACCATCACAAGTTATTTTTGATATTAGTCGCAGATTAAAAATATATTAAATTTATTTTATTGTAAGGCTATACTATGAATATTAACAATTTGCTAGTTAATTATTGGTAGTCCGGTCATCGAGCCATTACTGGTTGTGGCAACATTTCAGGCTGCGCAGTCTCCCATGATCTTGGCATTCCATACTTCTTAGGTTTTAGAACAAACAGGAACTGAAAAAGGATAGAACACATTTAACGCATTTACTTTTTAATTTTAAAAGGTAGATTTAGATAAACGAACGCATTTCTCTAGGCAAAAATATCTATCTTCGATTAGAAATTAAAAGGCAAAAGGTCTCCATTCTTAAGGTATAGCATATTAAAAGAAAACAGAGGCAGCCAAAGGACTGCCAAGTGCCGACAGAAGTGAAAAGTCATTGATATAATATGCATATATATGTACATGTCTTGTCGAGTACAACTGTGGCGCGAACCCCATAAGTTTTTCCCCTACCAAAAATCGCTCAACGCGACTAAAGAAGTTTTCACTTTAAAAATTAAATCCAGATAACAGTTGACGAAAATATTAACATACATTTAAAATAAAAATATAGTCGAATTGAAGACTCCTGTGAGAATTCTGCTAAAATACAAGTAGATCGTGTGTATGTTTGTTACTCTTTCTACAAGACCGCGTCTCTGGCTTCTGATGATGTTTGTGATGTTAGCCTTTTGGCTCTTACAGCTTTATGGGTTTCAGGGCTCAGCTACTTACACAACGTTAGTTGCTTACGTAACGATGATTTTCTACGACAGATTAAAGTGCACGTAAATGAGTTATCTAACGGCCGTCCGAACAGAGAGTGACGGGTCCTCTTTCAGTATATAAAAAGTACTCTGTGGGGTCCTCGGCTCTGACGGCTAACTCGTATTGTTCGATACTCGACTCGATGCGAGGAACGCGGGTGTACGATGTGTACTCGGTGTGGAGGGGTGTGCGGCGCGCCCGTCTGCGGACTCGCTGCGTCCCATCCGTTGTTGTCCTAACAGTGTTTGTGTGGTTTATGTATGACTGGCCGGCGACATTTCGTTCGTCGGAATCAAGCGGAACGGCGAGCAAGACTGGGTACACTGATCACGAGGCGGTAGCCGTCACTCCTATTACGGCGGCTCTTCACGTTGGCCAACCTCAACATACTGGCGAAGGTGTTGGCCAACAACGATGACCATCGTGTAGAGCGGGTGTTTAAGCTACGTTGGTACGTATTGGAACGATGGCCCACAAGTTGGCGCGTGATCCGTCTGGTGTCGGTTTTTTACAAAAGATCAAAGGATTGTGGCAGAGCATTGGCCGCCGCGGCCACACGATGGGCGCACGTTCAGTTTGCTACGAGCTCCAAGAGTGATTGCACGCACCTGATTTAAATTTTATATGCACGCATCGTAACTAGTGTCTACTTAACGGCAGTAACAATAACCAATGAAAAAACTTTTCGCTTTATAGAGCCCTATCAAGCCGAAAATTCTTTGTGAAACACAAGTCTTTTTAAAAAAAAAAGCGTTACCCTCACACTAGGATTTTCTCCTGCATCGTGGAGGCAGTTTAGAAACATAAATTGCATAACAAACATCCAGACCCGAAGCAATTATGTGCAGGCTATACAAATACTTGTTCCGTGCGGTATTCGAACCTGCGGCCCCCAGCGCAGCAACTCATTGCTAAGCCACTACGCCACGGAGCCGTCAAGAAATAAAATTTCTTTTTTTACATTTCTTTTTGATCACCCTTTTCTTATACACATTCATGTTGTAGTGAATGATGTATTAATTTATTTATTGATGTATTAATTGATTTATTGATGTATTAATTGATTTATTGATGTGTTAATGCTATGAGACTAGGTAAGATACTAAAAACAAATTAAAAGTTAGGATACTAAAATCATGTTTTAATGTCTTTATTATTCCCTATTAGTTACTTTATTTCGTTAATAATACTGTAAGTTTTAGCTATGGAAGAGCGAAGTCACCTGTTACAGGCATTATTTTGCTTACTAGGTGACCTTGATCACTGATCATATAATGTAACTTTAATGTTTGACGAAATAAATTATTTATTATTATTATTATTAAGTTCGCCATATGTAGATACTACTTTGTGCATGAAAGTGTAAATAAATAAATATATTCTATAATTATATAATAACCCTTTTTAAAAAGGTTTTGTTTAATAAAAATTTTACACCAGTTTCATAGACAGGCTTCGAATATTTTTCATGCCTTAGTTAATTATACCTATGCCTAGGTGTGTTAATGTTTATATAGTTTACTTATTTGTATAACGTTAGTGTATGATAAAGAAATATTAAAAATTTATATTAACAATATTAAATATTAAAAATAGTGAAAATTAAATAAAAAATAGTGGTATGTTGTGAATAACTAAACCGTAGCAGCCGTTTGCGCATCAATAATCATTTTAATTAATTCGTCCGCACATTGGCCTGAACCGAAGCAAACAGCAAACTGAACGACCTTCCAACGTGTGGACGCGATCACAAATTCTTGGCCAATACCTCTGCCAACACATTCGCTACTATGTTGGCCAACGTGAAGAGCCGCCATAAAATACAATATGTTTTTTTTTTATAGGAGAAGGGGCAAACGAGCATACGGCTCACCTGATGAACATGTTGTACGATCTACTTATATTGTTCTGGTATAGAAGAGAATAGAATAGTTTTTATTCAACAAAGCTAAAAAGTAATTCTTGTTAAAAATATTTTTTTTAATTTTACCACTGGTTCGGAAAAAACTCTGTCCTGAGAACCAGAAAGAAATACAGCGGGTTTTTTTTTCAATATAATTATACATTACAACACAGATTTACAAACTACTTACAAAACTTATTTAAGAAACCGCTTGAAAGTTAGGTATTATCAACCATCTGTTTATTAAAATTATAGTGTTTGACCGTGTAGTGGCGATGTAAGAAAATCCACTAGCCCATATCGCCACGTGGGTGTCATAAGAAGCGACAGAGACAGGGAAACAAATCAAGAGATGGGCAGCAGCGTATTCATAAAAACAACTAAAAAAGTTAAAAACTGCGGTTGCCAACGCGCCTACCAAGCGTAGCAAATTACCAATTATAAGACCCTGTCTCAGCAGAAGACTCCTTTCTATTTAAGCAGTGGACTCTTAAGAGGTTTGTTCTTAAATATAATATTATCTCGCCCTAGGACTTGAAGATAGGAATCGGCACACAAATACTGACCACAACGACTGCGTAGCTAGTGCCGACGAGGAAGCCGACCGCCACGTCGCTCCAGTGGTGCATGTGGTCGGTGACTCGCGACAGCCCCACGTACCAGGCGCCCAGCAGCGCCGCGAACTGCGCCGAGTGCCGGAGCAGCTTCGAACCCCGCCATTTGCCCTTCACTTGTATGTACATCTGTAACATCCAGACTTCTATATATTCTACTAGACGGATACCGTTGCATTAATATATTGCACACTACGTTACGGTCAATTCTCCGTAACTCCTTTAGTAGACTCTGAGTAGGCGAGCAGACTAGTTCTTAGTTTTGTAAACCGCGAACGTTGTTTTCGACAATCTAACACTGATTTTATTTAATTTCACTAAGAAAACGCTGTCATTATTTATGTGCACATTTTGCCATTGATTTGAAGTTTATTTCAGATAAGCATAGTTTATAGATTATGGGTGACGAACGAGCACACAGTCCACCAGATGCTAAGTGGATACTGCGGCTCATAGACATCTACATTTATCCTCGATTATTATTCAATATGTAGGTGCGTTGTTTACCCCTGACGACTAAGATGGAATGCCCCGTATCTCGTATCCAGTTAAAAGATTCTCCAGTTCTCTACACTCACTATGCGAAACACAGCAACATTAAGCTCCTATTTTATGCTGGTTTACTGAATTTTAAGTTAGTGTCTTCTGGAAAGGATGCGCAATGCCAGCAATAGGTGTCCGCGGAAGACCAGCGTCATTGAGAGCATGTCAAGATTACAATGATTATAATTCTGTAAATACATACTCGTTACGCTCGCGAATCATATTTTGTTAAACATTCAATCTGGCCCTGACCTGGAAATTCCAAAAAACCTTAGAAAATTTGAATTTCGCGGGCCACCCTGGAGCTTTCACCTTAACTGTCTTGAAGAGATAGCTGTGTAGTAACAAGACTGCCTTTTATATTTCTCTCAATATTTATTGTGATCTGGAATTTAAATGGATTATTATTGGGAAATTGTTAATTGCAATTTTAAGTGATGATAAACCTTTTGAGTGGTTTAAAATTAAACATTTTGATATTCTTTAGTCCTTAGGAATACCACAATGTCATCTAGTTCCATTAAAAACTTCAGCCCTATCTTTCCACTCTTAGGGGTGAAATTTTTTGTTCAATTTAATATGTGACTATTCCGGACAAAACAGTCTTACGATAAAGAATACTGCGGTGTACATAGCATAGCTGGAGTGGGCGCTGGGGAAGCTGAGCCGCATGTCATTGATCTGCGCTTCGTTGGTACCGGTGCAGTTGTAAACTTGGATATAGCCAAGCGCATTTAGTGGAGACGACATATCTGCGACCGGCTTACACACCTGGAAAAGACATATGCTAATTTGTAAAACGTATTTGCTATACTTTATGAAACTAAAATCCCATATTGATTTCAAATTGACCCACTGGCTGAATTGGTTTTTTGGTGGTCTGCAAAAAAGGAGGAGATCTCTCTCCCGCCGTACACGGCGTTTAATACTTGATTATACATCAAGTGCTGAACGCAATGTTTGTATGGAGTACGTATGTAGGGTGCGAATGCATTCAGCGTAGCAGCAGTCACACTTTTGTCTATAACAAACTTATGTATGTGAAGTCTACATAAAATTTTCTTAATTTTGGAACGAAGTTCTTTAAGACTCGGACGGTCGGATTTGGCGGATGGCGGCTAGAGACAAAAAGTGTAAGATTTTTCCGTCACGACCTCTTCTGACATAGTGTAGACGGTCTTTGCGGCTATAAGGAAACGAGATGGAATAATATCCATCTCCCTCGCACTTTTTCTTATCTGGCCATGAAAGAAATATTATTTTAAATGACGCTTCATTTTAATAGATGCTTGTAATTAATTTATTTGTATTTATTAATCAATAATTAATATAATAACTGTATAGATCATAAAATACTACGAAAGGAACTTCGTTCCAACCGAGTGTTCCACGACACTCACGCATGTTTTTTTTCTTCGTATCATCTTCATGCAAGGTAACCCGAAACAGGTCTACAAGAGACAAGTGAGCGCCATCAACGACATCGACAAAAGGATTCTCTTCTCGCATAACATAACGACCGTATCGGTTTCCAGACTTTCTGTACCTTGAACCTGGAAACGACTGTCCGTGCGTCCGTGCGCTTTAGCTGTCCAAGTTGGCCGCCGATATGGCGTAGGAGGAAGTGACCAGCAAATACGACTTGCAGTTGTACGAAACTCGTGGTGAGCACACTTCAGCCGAGGGTGGAGTGTACGACTTCTCAAATAACAAGCGCATGAGTCTCACCGAGTAAGAAGCCGTGAAAGAGATATGACGGCATCGCCGAATATTCCTAACGTACTTCACATCACCCATTGTCTTGGGGGGGCTGAGTTGTTCAACATCTCAATATCAAACTGAAGCTAGCCGTGGTTGACTATGACGATCTGTTTCATTCAAGTGAAGTGTTCGCGTAATTTTTTTTTTTATAGGATAAGGGTGACAATCGAGCACACAGTCCACCTGATGGTAAGTGGTTACTGCGACCCATAGACATCTACATCTATCCTCTATTACAACTCAAAATGTAGATGCGTCGTCACCCGTGAGGACTAAGATGGAATGCCTCATTTCCAGTAAAAAGGGCCTCCGGCCACCTGCACTCACCAAGCGAAACGCAGAGGTAAACCTCTACTTCACGCTGGTTTTCTGTGAGGTCGTGGTACCACCCCGGTTCGAGCCGGCCCATCCGTGCGGCAGCAAAAGCTGCCGCGTGGCTCTACCACTGTTAAAAATTAATTACTTTTAAAATACTAATTAATTTTACTTACATCAAAGAAATGAGGTCGAAGTCGCCCTATAATGTACTTCGCGGAGTTGACTGTAAGCTGTTGGCAAGCGGCGCCGAACGTGTATATCCCAATGGCGACATAGCTCTCCCACACCCAGCCTGGGATCAGGACACCGGAGAGGAATTTTTCACCGCAGCCCTTCCCTTGCTTGTCGCGCACAAACTCTGTGATTGTGATCTAAAATAATAACAATATTTAAATAAATATGAATCTTAAATTAGGTTTTGTATCTCTCTAAAAATATAATAAAGTTATATTCCAGTATGAAAATAAAATGAAAAATAAAGATATTCATAATTATTTATTCGCTTTTTTATATGTAAAAGTATGGTAGAAAGACGAGGTATACTTTATTTATTTATTTATTTATTTATTTATTTAATCGGAAATCCCTCGGTTAACAAAAACAGAGTAGGTAGAAAACAATTAAGCAATAGGAAACCATTTATGGGTTTTCGCAAATAGTGGCACTATATAAATAATTGCATGCGGTGAGTTACCGACAGCTAACAGGGACACTGTCGCACCAACCGTAAGCTTAGCTAACATCGTGCATTAACTAAACATTACAGATCAACAATAGCAAAAAAATATAAAAAACAAAATAAAATAAAAAGAAAAATAATAAGAAGTAAAAAGGATCATCAGCTAGAATCGAAAAATGCTTTACTCAGAACTCGTCTCGCCGAAATGATACTTGTGTTGAATAGGTCTAAATTAAACAATTGGGATACAGTATTAAAATTCTTGCTCGCACGGTACATATAACTATTCTGCCTATAATTAGTCTTTGTTGCGGGTAGTGATAGTGGGACCTTTCGTCTAACATTTTTTGGAATTTTGATATTTAACTTCTCAAGTAGTTCTGGACAGTCGATCTCGCTTGAAGCTATCTTAAGTAGAAAGGTAATATCTGCTATTTGCCTTCGCATCTCGAGTGGTAAGAGGTGGAACTTTCTACACTTATCATAGTAGTGGTTAGAGTTGTAGTGGTCATTTACTCGGTAGCAAAGGTGTTTAATGAATTTCATCTGGATACGTTCAATTCGAGATATATAGGTTTTATATTGAGGGTTCCATATCTGTGATGCATATTCCAAAATACTTCTTACGTAGCAACAATACAAAATTTTCAATGTTTTAATTTGTTTAAAGTTTTTAGAGCAACGCATCACAAGCCCTAAGGCTCTGGTAGACCGGCCAATTATATTTTCGATATGTTTATCGAATAGAAGTTTCGAGTCGTGTATAACTCCCAAGTCGCGTACGGAATAATCTCTGGACAACGATTGGCCCCGAATATGGTAATCGTACAGCAATTTATTGGGTTTACGGCTAAATGTAACAACTGAGCATTTCGTAGGATTGAGATCGAGATGGTTATAGGTACAATAATCAAGTAAGTTTCTCAAGTCATTTTGTAATGCTTCTGCGTCTTTTAATGAAGAAATATTTGAAAAAATTTTCATGTCATCTGCGAAACATAATAGATGAGAGTTACACAGACAGTTGTTGATATCATTAACAAAAATAGCAAAAAGTAAAGGTGCCAGTAGCGAGCCCTGGGGAACACCACTAGGGATTTTAACCCAGCTAGAAATGTAATTATTTACCACTACAGCTTGTGTTCTGTTCTCAATATACGAGGAAAACCAGCGAAGTAAGTCTCCGCTTATGCCGACACATTTAAGCTTGTATAGGAGGCGACTATGGTTAATCCGGTCGAAGGCCTTACTGTAATCAGTATAGATGACATCAATTTGATGGCCTTTATCCATGGAATCAGTAAGAAAGTCATTGAGTAGAGCAAGGTTCGTGACAGTAGATCTACCGGGGAGGAAACCATGCTGAAAGTCGTGAAGTGATTGTCTAATAGCTAAATATAATTGAGAGTGCACTATTTTTTCGAAGACTTTACTTAGTATGCATAACTTGGAAATAGGCCTGTAGTTATTAACCTGATCTCTAGAGCCCTTTTTGTGTATTGGAGTGATGAAGGCCGATTTCCAAATAGCAGGAACAGTACATTCTGCTAGAGACTTATTAAATAGGAGAGTTACAGGCGTTACTAGTGATCTTGCACAATTTATTAAAAATACGGCCGGCAGGTGATCTGGACCAGCAGATTTACATTGGTCAAGTTTGAGCAAGAGATTGAGGACAGTTTGTTCACTGACGTAGATTTTGGAGATATCCGCAATAGAAGGTGGATAGCCAGTATGGGCAGGATCAGAGGTGGGCTGTGTACTAGTATCATCCAAGAAGTTAGAACTAAAGTAATCTGAGAACGCTTCACAAATGCTGTTGCCAGTTTTGACTACTTTATGGTTATAAAAAAGAGTACTAGGCATAACGTTTGAATTCGAGCGTGATTTTGTAAAACTCCAGAAGTTTTTAGGGTTCTTGGTAATAGAGTTTTCAACAGATGCTAGGTAGTCAGTGTAACATTTACTCTCTAAGGCTTTCGCCCTAACTCGAAGTAATTTCATAGACACATAATCACTGCGATTATTGTAAATTTTAAATTTTTTATGATATTTATATTGTTCCTTGATTACCTTAATTAACGCTAGAGAGTACCAACGTGGGTATTGATGTTTAACAATAGTTTTGGATGGAATAAATTTATCTCTCAAAATATGGAATTTTGAGTAGAAATAATCGACGCATTCATCTAGCGTTCTTGAATGAAATTCGCTAGCCCAATCGATTTTGAGCAGCTCAGCATTGATTGATGTATAGTCGCCTTTGTTGTACAGAAACCTATCGCGAGGGGCAGGCCTTAGTGGTATGAAATCAAGAAGATGAGATTCAATTAGAAGTGCCCCGTGGTGTAGATCAATGGGAACAAGAGGGTCACAACAGCTGGAGACTACCTGAGTAAAGTTTGACAGGACTAAGTCTAAAATTTTACCATGTGCGTTCACAACGCCGTTATATTGATTTAGACCCAAAAGATTTAGTTCGTCAACTAGTAAATTTTCGTCAAATGTTTTATTTCCCGTTGGTACAAAATGATCACCATTGGGAAGCCATGATATAGCACTTAAGTTGAAGTCGCCTGCCACTAAAAACCTATCATCAGGATATGTTAAAATAAATCGTTCTAGGTTAGTTAAAAATTTTTTTAGTTGCACAGAGAAACTATTACCAGTATTTTGACTACATAGGTATAGCACACATATATGCAAATTTGTTTTGGTATGTGGTTTATTATTGTGTAATGTTAACGTCACCCATAAGTCTTCAGCGGCAGAAAAATATGTTGGTTGTAATGTGCAGGCGAGCCATTTATGTATAGCTATCAGTACACCGCCTCCTCGTGTTTGATGGGTCAAACTATAATCGCGATCACGCTTCCACACAATATATCTATCATCGAATAATTCTGAGTCGAAAATTCCATCAAATAGCCACGTTTCCGTGAGGATTATAATGTCGTAAGTGCTCATGCATAAATTACGGAAAAATACCGTTGTTTTCGAACGAAGCCCGCGGACATTTTGATAATAAATGCTTAGACTATTTTTAGTTACGTTATCCATTTTTTAGATGAAGAATGAATCTTAATATAAAGCACAAAGTTATGGCAGAAGCATGGAACATTTATAGGTACGGAGTTCAAAGAAAGTATATGTAAAAAAGATATATAAATGATTAAGCAATGTTTAATAGGCGAGATAGTGCGAGCAAGTAAGAAAATAAAACAAATAAATATGCAGGTATAAAGTAAACAATAAGCGGTCGACGGGATCAATGATAAGCGGCACAAATAACCGGTTTGGCAAGTGCGTTATCCACCTAATAAGTAGATGCTGTGCTGTGGGCAATATGCATATCTATATCTATCATGATTGTCTCCCCTGAGGACTGAGGATAGGGATGGAATACCTCGTTAACAGTCAATAGGATCGCCGATCCTCTACAATACAAAACACAGGGATATTAGAGATTTTACGTACTTCTTTCGATCCAAATCCGAGTAAACACAAATTTAGAAAACTCGAACTGAATTCAGAAGTGGATTGTGTACTGCATCACTGCATTCGATCCGAATCCGAGAAAACATGATTATAGCTTGTACACATTGTTTTCTCAATCGCCACAAACTTTGCCACTCTTATTATACGTACGAATACCCAAGAGAAATATATATGGATACTCCACCACCATCACCAACACAGATGTGTTGGTTCAGATTAGATTCAGAAGAAGTAAGCAAGCTCTTAACGTCAACCGTTTAGTGGCGGTGTAAGAATATTCACTAACCCATATCGTCCCCTGGTTGTCGTAAGACGCGACAGAGGGAAACTGAAACAGGAGATGGGCAGGAGCATCTTCCTGATAACAACTCAAAACCTTTAAACAACTGCGGTTGCCACCCCGCAAGCGTGGCAACTATGGCAAAATCGTAAAAAATAAACGAACTTACACACTACGTTTCACCACTAAGACTGTGAACATTTCTTAGAATATAATTTATGTTGTGTATTTAATTATACAGATAATTGAAATGTTATTTAATTAAATTTTAATATTTGGTAAATTGGAACGAAAAGTGTACACTAAAAGATAATAATTGCTAGCATTTAAAATAGGCCAAGCCTGTGTCTTAAATGCTAGTTTCTTCCTTAAAGTAAATTAACATAGGATATACACTTAAATGCTTTACAAATTACTACTTTTTGATATCGTGCTAATAAGGTGCTTATAATTATTTAAAAGTGTTTGTTATTTTAAATTAAGTTTAAATTTTAGAACTCAGCTCCTTTTATTACTCGTATTGTAAATAGATCTTCAATGTCATCATAGGTTTGTGATTTAAGCCAAACTGTCAACTTTTTTTTGCAATCGTAGTTATTAAGCGGATGTATATTAATCATTCGGTTAATTTTATTATATAGAAAAGGACCAATAAAACATGGAAACTTTTTAATAAAGTAAGTCCTAAAGGGAATATTAGGACACTCTCTGTCCTTTCTTCGCGTTTGGGGTTGCTTTGGGTCATAAGAGACTTTCTTATGTTGGGATAAGATCGTATCAACTACGTACAGTTGTCTTACCGTCAGCACATCACACATAGCATACAATTCAACAGTAGGAAATCAGTAGCGTTTAAAAGTGATAACCTTAAGTAACACGCGTTGGGCCCTTTCAGCTCTTATTATATGAGATTTTTTAGCACCTCCACACGCTCTTATGCAATATGATATTACGGATTGGGCCATGGCATGGTAGACGGATTTTAGAAGTTCAATGTCAGCAACATGCCGCAACGTTTTGAAAATATAAATCAGTTTACGATTTTTTTCTGATATCATTTTCATTTGTGGTATCCACGTTAAGGTTTGATCCAAAATTACACCAAGGTACTTTATTGTGGTTGTACGTTCTAATATATACACACAATATGGTTTTATGTGTGGATGAAGTTTATTGCAAGTATGGGCTTGAATGTGTATTTTACTAGGGTTGCTATTTTGTGCTATACCAAAAGTAATGAACTTAGTTTTTGACGCGTTTAGTGTCAGTATGTTTTTCTGAAGCAATTGTGTTGCCTGTTGCAATCCTATGTCTGCCTTGATTCTAGTTTCCTCCCAAGTTTTACCATGAAAAACTAGCACTGTATTATCGGCAAATGTAAAGATCTTACAATTATTCAAATTAAGATTACATAATTCATTTATATATATATATATATATATTAAGAAGAGACTAGGGCCGAGGACGCTGCCTTGTGGCACGCCATAAGTGATGGGAGAATCTAGACTAGTCAGATATCCAACCTTTACCCTTTGCCTTCTGTGAGAAATATAACTTTCAAACAGGTTTAATGGTTTCCCGCGTATACCAATTTTATGCATTTTGTCTAGAAGTATAGGAGTAGAGACCGTATCAAATGCTTTCGCAATATCTAAGAATACACCTATACATTTGTTTTTCTTATCAATTTGCTGAGCAATATAATCTGTTAACCCAGTAACTGCATCAGAAGTACACTTACCAGCTCTAAAATCATATTGATTGCTTGATAGAAGAGCATTCTTTTCCAAAAAGTTCTTACCGTAACGATAGTGAAAGCGAAACCGAGGCCTGCCAGCAAGCCCTCAGATATCTGCTGCTTCTTATACGGCAGTCTTAAAGATTCGTCGTTTTCAAAATAGCCCCGTCGGTACGGTTCCGCCCATAGCAACAAGGCCAAGAGGGGAAACGACACTAAAACAAATTATAACTTTATTACTATGTTTATTAAGTGGTTATTTATTAATTTACAAGAAATGTTTCACCCAAAAAGTTAAAAACGCTTCCGAAGTGCAGTTTGACGGTTCCGTATTGCAATGGTTAAGGATTTGGTCTGTGCCTGTGCGCTGTGGTAAGGGATCAAATCCCGCAAAAAACAATTGTTTGTATAAAAGTTAAAGTTACAGCCTGTATACGTCCTACTGCTGGGCACAGGCCTCCTCTCATACTTTGAGAGGGTTTTAGGACAAGGAAATGTTCGCCACGCTGCCCCAATGCGTGTTGGCGAACTTCACATGTCTTTACTTTTCAATTATTTCTCAGACATGCAGGTTTTCTCACGATGTTTTCCTTCACCGCCGAAGACGTGGTAAATCAGCACTTATAATTGTAATTAACAATTTCATTGGTGGCGGCGGGATCAAACCCGGGTTGCTCGCGTACTGTGAAATTTACAGCGAGCGCTAACCATCTGAGCTACCACGGCATTTGTATGGCCCACAGTAATTGTTTCGGGTTTGCATGCGAGTCCTTGTGCAATATTATTTGTATGTAAACCAACTTCACGATACAGGAGAAATCCATACTGTAGGCGTAATTTTTTTTATAAAAACTAAATACATATATGTTGATGATGTTCCGATAGATGACGGTATAACTAAAGAGTATATAATAACTACAGAGTTAGAATATAGTATATTCTAAGTATATGAACCACACTGTTTATAACATTATAATCTCTATAATGTCGATGACACCAGCATCGTTGGGCAGCGTCAAGGCAAGAAAATGTCGAGAATGTACTACGAATGACAATCCGCCTGCCAAACGTGGCGATTAAACGTAGTGATTATATACTCTTTGGTGGCGATTATTGCAAATCCTTTCGTTTAACGCAAGATGCTCATGCCCAGCAAGATTTTTATTACTGAAACTTTTTTGAAGTTATACTTCTTTTGGGGCATTTGGGAAAAATTATGAGAGTGAGTTTTTTACAATGCGCGCGCACTCCGACACCTAAAAACGACACCATGAAGTTGTTACGATGCGCACGAACACTGACACCTAAAAGCGACAACTTCAGTGGGTAATTGTCTCTCAAGTTTTTCTGTTTTGTTACGCTAAAGAAGTATAACTTCCTACGTGCATGCATAAGTACACACATACTTTTTAACAGCTATTTCATTTTCTTTCAAAGTAAGTTGAAATCAAAGACTTCTATGTATACTACTTTAGAAGTCTTTGGCTGAAAAAGTAATCATAATATAGCTCTGTAGAAGATGTACCTAAGTGGACGATATCTTTGGGACAGTATCTATAACAATTCATTGAAAGAAATGAATAATCTTTTGCATGTTTTCTTACTGTAAATCATTGATAAGAAGACAATCACAATTATAAAGACATTTTATCACTTGATAATAAAAGCTCGTAAAATTTTATTCTGCAAATATTTATTCGAACATAATAATAATTCAAAAATTGACGACTCAGTGACTAAGTGACTAATAGTTTGCTGCGGATTCGAATCCTGTGAGGGACCTGTGTATTGCTTACAAATAATTATTTCTAGTCTGGATGTTTGTCCGTTTATTACAGTGTATGTTAAACGCCTCTCATATGCAGAACTAAAACCTAAAAATAGTAATGTAATATAGATTTTTTTTTATAGGAGAGGGGACAAACGAGCATGCGGCTCATCTGATGGTAAGTGACTACCGACGCCCATGAACAACTGCAACACCAGGGGAATTGCAGATGCGTTACCGGCATTTTAAAAAGGAGTAGGCTCTTTTCTTAAAGGTTCCCAAGTCGTATCGGTCCGGAAATAATCATACATATATACAACATAAAAAATCCATTCCACAAGGAAGTAGTGCGAGGAAGAAAACATCTTCTAAATCGCACAGTGGTGGACCGCCAATCATCCCGATGGTATGGATGGTATCGCAAGTTTTGTCTCGATGTGTGATGGTGAAATTGAGCGGCTGGAATTAGTCGGAACAATTCCTCAGAGCACTCCCCATGATAAATGTGATAAAATATGCAAAGAGATGGAACATCTCTACGCAGTGCCATTGAGTCAAGCTGATCGGAAAGAACTCGGTCGTCGACGATTCGAACGCTGACAATGGGGAGAGACTTCAGACACAAGTTTGTTCTGGTACTCGGCGACGTTTTCCCAAGAAATACTGGCACGGCCGGTGTATAGCGCATCACCAGTGCTATCATCTGCATAGCAATATATATTATCGGTCTGCTACATATCATTGATATGCAAAAGAAACAGCGTTGGAGATAGCATGCAGCCTTGTGGAACACCAGCGTTAATAGGTTTGTAATCGGAGCATGCACCGTCTACTGCGACCTTGATGCTCTGATCAGCCAGAAAACTGGTGATCCAATTGCACAATTTCTCGGGAAGCCCATAGGAAGGAAGCTTCGAAAGAAGCGTTTTGTGCCAGACCCGATCGAAGGCCTTCGCTATGTCCAAACTAACGGCCAGTGCCTTCCCCTTGGACTCGATCGGCTGCGACCAGCTGAGCGACCCTGACGGAAACCGTACTGGCAGTCACTAATCAGCTGGTGCTCCTCAAGGTACCGCATGAGCTTGCAGTTAATAATGGACTCCATTATTTTCAAAAACAAGGAGGTGATGGCGATAGGCCTGTAATTGGACGGATCAAGGCGGTTACCTTTTTTAGGGATCGGGTGCACGAAAGCTGTCTTCTATGAATTCGGGACAACGCCTAGGGAGTAGGAGTACCGAAAAAGACGCGTTAGAACAGGTGCCAACTCTGGAGCGCACGTCCTCAGCACAATTGGCGGGATTCCGTCAGGCCCACTCGAGTTGTGGATGTCCAGGGAGAAGAGTGCTTTGCGTACTGAGCACTGTGTGAATCGCACATCAGGCATAGAGCACTCACACTGCGGGATGGTCGGCGGAGTGTTCGCCCTGTCATCAAGAGTCGAGTTGGACGCAAAAAGGGAGCCTAAAAGATCGGCTTTTTCTTTTGCGGCGTATGCCAGTGAGTCATCCTCCCTGTGCAGACATGGTAGTGATGGCTTACAGAAATTTCCTTGGCGAGAGACCAGAATGCACAGGTTCCTGCAGGAAGGCGAACTAGTTTCTCGCCAATTCAGCCTACGTGCTCTGACTTTGCCTTGGCAATAACTCTTTTGAAGGACCTGAAGGCGAAGTTATACTTCTTTTTAAGCATGCTGGTATTTACATCCCCAGCCGCCGAAGCCTCAGTCCAGGCCTGATAACATTCCTGCTTACTGCGTAATGCAGTCTTACAGGCGCGACCAAACCAAGCTGAGATCTGCCACCGATGGGTACCACAGATGATGGAATAAATAGTTCCATTCCCCGTAGCACCACATCGGTGACAGAGTCAGCAACAGCTCTGGGATCATCCGGCGAGAAGCAAACTCGCCCCCATGGGTAGGATGCAAAGAAAGACCGCATTCCGTCCCAATCGCAGGACGCAGGTGTCCTCTCCGGCTGATACTTCATATCTCTCCTACCCGGGGTACAAATTAGAACACTCCTTAGTGCCCCGGGCTGGATTTTGCATATACGTCAGAGAGGACATCTGTTTTCGACGCCTCGGTAGTCTTGAAGGTACGGACCTGTCCATCCTATGGCTGCGCGTAGACAGCGACGACCATCCCCGCGTCTACGGGTGCCTCTATAGGTCCCATAGCGGTAATGCCGACATAGATCAACTCATCGATCACGTCCAAATAGCTGCAGACTCCGTGCTACAACAGGTCCCATCCGCAGAGATCGTGATACTCGGTGATTTTAACGCCCACCACGCTGAATGGCTTGGTTCTCGTTTAACCGATCATGCGGGTAGATCTGTCTATGACTTTGCTTTGGCATATGGTCTAACACTAAGTGGATCCCAGATGTGGAAGACCATGTACCTTCCCTGTTGAACCTTCTGCTGATCTCTCATCCGGACGGATTTCAGGTCTCCGTCGATGCCCCTCTGGGCTCTTCGGACCATTGTCTGATCCGGAGTACGGTGCCACTCACGCTCCAATCGCAGTTGCGATCTGCAGCTTGCCGCCGTGTTTGGCACTATAGGTCAGCTGATTGGGACGGGATGCGGTCTTTTTTTGCATCCTACCTTTGGGGGCGGGTTTGCTTCTCACCGGAAGATCCCAGCGTTGTTGCCGATTCTGTTGCTGATGTGGTACTTCAGGTTATGGACCTTTTTATTCCATCCTCTGCCCATCGGAGGCAGATCCCAGCCATGGTTTGGTCGCTCCTGTAATATAGCATCACGCTATAAGCAGGACTGCTACCGGGCCTGGGCTGACGCATTAACGTCTCGGGATGTAAACACCAGTGCACTTAAAAAGAAGTATAATTCCGCCTCCAGGTGCTTCAAAAGCGTCATTGCCAAGGCAAGGTCTGAGCACATCGGCAGAATTGGCGAGAAGCTAGTTCGCCTTCCTTCGGGAACTGGTCTCTCGCCAAGGCTGTCCAAGGGAACTTCTGTCAGCCATCTCTTCCATCTCTGCACAGAGAGGACGACTCACTGGCCTATGCCGCAAAGGAGAAAGCCGATCTCTTGAGCTCTCTTTTTGCGTCCAACTCGACTCTAGATGACGGGGGGACCACACCGCCGACCATCCCGCGATGTGAGTGCTCCATGCCGGATGTGTGGTTTACACAGCGCTCGGTTCGCAAAGCACTCTTCTCCTGGACGTCAGCAAGTCGAGTGGGCCCGATGGAGTCCCTCCCATTGTACTGAAGACGTGTGCTCCGGAGTTGGCACCGGTTTTAACGCGTCTTTTCCGGTACTCCTACTCCCAAGGCGTAGTCCCGAATTCATGGAAGACAGCTTTGGTACACCCAATCCCTAAAAAAGGCGACCGCTCAGACCCGTCCAACTACAGGCCTATTGCCATCACCTCCTTGTTCTCCAAAATAATGGAATCTATTATAAACTGCCAAC